CGGAGCGGGAACCCCGCGCGCTGCGCTGACTGACAGGCGGCCCCGCGCATGCGCCACAGCCGGGCACGCGCACTAGGCCCCGCCTCGGAGGTCGCCTCAGCCGCCGCGCCATCGCTGAGTCGGTAGGGATGGAGGTGTGAGGTTATCGAGCACAGCCTGTCTTCCAGCACCGTCTTGTCAACCTKACCATGGCACYGAGTGCCAGGTCCAGTCTCTCCCTAAACATCTCCACCACCTCTGTGGGCAGTTAATTCCAATGTCTAATCACCCTTCCTGTGAAGAAATCCTTCGTAATGCTCAACCTAAACCTCCCCTGGTGCAGCTTGAGACGACATCCTCTCGCCCTGTCACTGGTTGTTTGGGAGAAGAGGCCATGCCCCAGCTGGCAAAAACCTCCTTTAAGGAAGCTGCAGAGAGTGATGAGGTCCTGTCTGAGCCTTCTTTTCTCAAGGCTAAACAACCCCAGCGGCCTCAGCCACTGCTCCTAGGACTTGTGCTCCAGACCCTTCACCAGCTTTGTTGTCCTTCTCTGGACACACTCCAGCACCTCAATATCCTTTCTGAATTGAGAGGCCCAGAACCAGCCACCGTTCTTGATGTCCACCAGCTCCTCGTGTCCTGCCTCAGCTGTCGCCCTGGACCTTCCCTTTTGAAGGGCTGACAAAGCACTGCCTGTAAGGTAAAAGCTGTGTCCTGGGGACTTTACACCCTCATCCCACAGACAAAATGCACTTGACCCCCTTTTTCATTGCCAACTGGCCTGTTCTCCACAGAGCTTGTCATGGCAAGGCTTGTTTACCACCCTCATTTCTTGGCCCACTTTTTGTCTCCTCAGTGCCCCCCACTTGTCAGTCTGGTGCTTCCTAAACGTGTTCCCAAACATTGCCTTCCCCATTCCCATGGCCCTCCCAGCACTTCCCTCTGCTCCTTTGTCACCAGCAGTCAAAATTGAGTCAACTGTGGGCGCTGGTTGAAAAAACACATGGGGAGCCACATCACTGACTCAAGAAGCTGCTAATACAAGTAATTAAGACATAATTAAGACAAGGTTTTGTACTGCACGGGTATGGAAATGTTTATGTGAAATATGCTTATATGGAATATGTAGACTTATTAGGTATTTGGTGTGGGACATACTAATGTCTGTCCAGAGAATGTACAGACAAAAGAGTATAAGGAGCTTTCATTCCAAGAAGGCAAATGTATTTTCAAGCCAATGTCTTATAAACACMTTCTCTTGTTTTATTTCTTTCCATCAAAGGTTCTCATAAACACTAGTGCCCTCAAGTACATACTCRATTAAACAAAAAACATACTCTGTTTAAAATAGCAGATTTGTGTTTCAGAGTTTCAAACTGTAAGTGGTAGACTCTCTGCTTGGTCTTAGAAACAAAAAGGAAAGAAAAGTATGGAAAATTGTGTATTTGCAATGAGTTCTGTTGTTTATATTCATACGTAGTCTTTCCTTCTGACAGACTTATTGTAACATATGTTAAAATCTTAAAACACCTGCAAACCTAATCTTAAGTAACAAAGTAACAAAAGTTGCTGTCCAGCATAAAAATGTTACTATTGTTGCTTAATCAGCACATTTAGTGAATTTTAACATAAACTTCTTTTAGTTCTTACTTTAGTTTATTGTTACAGTACTGATTATTTTACTTTAAGTCACTGATAGTTCAGTTCTTTTTAGTACAATAAAGYGGAGCTCCCAAAAAACTAATATGTCCTATTGAAAGTGCAGAGGATTGGTTTCTTGAACAAACYGTGGGATCATATATATATTTATATATTTTTGCTGAGTGACATTGCTCTGCTTTGGAATGCGTACTTTTTTAGTAGCCATGCTCCTGAATAATTACAGACCYCAAAATTTACAGTGACAAAATGGCAAAAAAGATTCCACCAAGAATTTAGTTTAAATCGACAAAAAAAAAAAGTAATGTTTTAAACAGTTTTCTCACCATTCGCTAGATGGCAGCTGATCTTCAAGAATGGCTGTATTTCTCCTTTCAGATGTGATAATTTGGAGGGAGTAGTCATCTGTTCCTGGAGAAATCAAATATTGTCCAGCATTGTCTTCACTCCATTTCTAATATGAAACTGAAAAACCAGCACAGTGAGTGTTCAGATAATTTTCAGCTTCATTAATTTTTCTTGTTAGGCTTTTTGCTCTCTGCCTGGGGAAGAATGTTCCCTTTTTTTCCCCTTTCATTATTTAGTGGGCCAGATTAACTTCTTTTAAAGGAGAACATACGTTATTACAGCTTCTAAAAAGRAAGATTATTTCATTGTTATTTTTAAAAATATATATGCATTGGGTTTTGGTGGACTAATGTTTAAAATTCCCAATTACTATAACTCACAAAGTAAAATAATTGTGTCTTCTTACAATAATTCCCTGCATACAATGTAAATAAGATATTTAGTTGATCTTTTTGGGGTAGGTTTTACTCTATTATTGGAATGAAAATTTTTATTTAAAATTGACAAATTAGCCATGTTTTTAACATAGCAGTTTTTTATGGGAGATGGATTTGAAGATGTGGTCTTATTGTCTATTAATCAAATAAGGACAGTTCAAAGTGAGTAGCTGGCATGTACATGTTTTAGGGCAGGATTTTAGTATTTGTGGAGATTCTTTGAGTAAGTATAAATGCTGTATTASACTTAGGCGACATATTGCACATTCTGAACACCAGGCTTTATTGTAACAAAACTTCATAAATAAATTTCCTAATGGGAATGTGAATGATTCTACAGGTATTTTTGAGTTGTATATCAGAATAACTGTGTATCTTATCCATATTTATGCACATCTCTTGTGTTTTAGATGGGGAGGTATTTTTGAAACTTTGGAGAGACAGCCAATCCAACTACTGGTAAGAGCAATTGTCTTTGAATAATATAATAATTTTAGTCTCTGCCTTTGGGAGGGATCCTATGCCTTCAGCATTTGTCTTTCCTAAATCAAGTACCTTGGAACATAGTCATGTTGAAACATTGACATGTCTTCCCTTGTCATGATCCCATAATTAGATTAATTATTCTAAACTTGTATGAATTTTCACTTCATTGTCTGTGGTTTTGCATTTCTATTTTCAAGCTGCCTTGAAGCTGTCTACTGATGTTTTAAAATGTTTAAGGCTTATGGAATGAGTTGCCCTTTGTAGATCCCACTCCAGTCTTTGATGACTGATCTTACTGATGTGAGACTGGTATGACTTAACAAAAGGWGTAGGAATGATTCCTACACTGCTGGAATAGCTCCGTACCTCAGAAAATATTACAATACAAAATATTTCACAGAATGTAATGTTCTGTCAGTAATATACTGACTTTCAAATTCTGGTGGTTAAGTAGTATCACCCAAATACTGTAATGAACAAAAAGAGAAGAAAACCATAGCAAGAATTTTCTGTGACTGACTTCCTTAGCTTCTGAYTGTGGAAGCTGGAAAATGTGTATTTTTTTTTCTTCTAATGAAAAGAGTTTGAAGATTCACACAGAAATAATGACTAAGTCATATTTTCAGATTCCTAGGTGTGATATAAAATTCTTTAGACTGGAATGGAAATAGGTTCAATTATTGCTCATGCTGCTCCATATTTAATGTTTTTTTCCCATTTATTCTCTTTAGAAGGGTATCAAGAATGCCAGTTCCTCAGTACTTGCTTATGTTACTTAAAATTATTTCCTGTTACCTTAGCTAGTGTTGTGGAAGCTTCTGTTTGTACTAYTTGTGCAAACAGAAATAGAAGAGGCTGATTTTTGTGTTTCAGTCTATCAAGCTAACGTTAGGCATAGTTTGTTACATCACCTAAACTGATGGGGTAGCTTGAAAAGCACCATGAACATCAGTAGCCTGARGGAAATGTTGTTTTTCCAGAATCTTTTCCCAAAGGAGGTTCTTGTCAAGTATAATTTCATTGTTATTGAAAATGATTAAAATTTGCAAAAGATTAAAGTGAATAATTAAAAAATAATAAAGCCACTTGTCAAATTGAATCTTGTTAATGGTAAACAGCTGTTTGTCATTGTGGCAAACACAGGTCTCTGAAGCAATATCAGTGAAATAATTAACCTGTTGTGGTTAGTGGAGCTGCATCCAGTCACWGCAGATTGAATTATGACTTCAAATGTCTTTGTTGTATTTGATGGTTAGCAGAGTATGAATATTTTCCTTTCTAAAATGCATTTGGCTAAAACTTAGTTCTTTTTTTCATAAAGGCATATCTTTAAAAGCAGAACTATTGAAATTTTCAGTGCATCAGTTAAACCATCTTTGCACTCTTTCTTCAATAAGATGAATTATTTAGTTAGGAAATTCTTGTTGGTCTGCATTTTGAAGAAAGAAACTATGCAACGTCTCAATTAATCTCTAAGGAAACTTTAAACTTTTCYCTTTGGGGAAATTCTACAAAATTAGAACTTGTGAAATAAATTAGAAATTAAACTTARCTTTCACATTAATCACATTTTAAGAGTCCAGCGCAGTCACCTGATGAAGCAAGTTGGTATAATCACATATAGCTGAGTACACTGTTAGTAATCTTTAGTGAAAATGTCCAGAAGTATCCTTAAAGCATATTAACTCATGTGAATTGTGACTAGGGAATTAAACTCATGAGACATATGAGATGGTTTTCTCCCATAGATCTACAAGACTGGTTAAATATATGTAAAGATGAATTCCTTCTGAAGATTAATTCTTTTATTCTGAATGTTCTAAGTAGATCTGGTTCTTGAGCAAATGCTTTTATGAAACTAAAGGTTCTACTTCTGTTTTTCCCATCTGTTATGAAATGAAATATCCCAGTAGAAACACTTTCCCCCAAGTCAGGCACTATGTGTTCTACCCACAGTGCTTTGGTTCTTAGCTTTTTTCGCCTTTATTTTCTCAGCCTTTTTCAAAGCTGTTAGAAATTGTGCTGTTTTTATCATCTTTATTTTCACTTAAGAAAACCAGAGATCAGGCTGTATCTCTTTAAACTGGTGGAGCAGTYCTAAATTCACTGCATTGAAGCCCAAAGCTACATAAGCCATGGTTGTTTCCTATAAGTTTAATAACAGTAAGAGGCTCAGTAATAGCTTGCTTGAAGATTGAAACCAGCCATTGGCTATATTACCTTTACCACTGCCAGCAAGAGGTTGAGAGTTAAAGTCCAAATTTGTAGAATTCTGTTTGCTCCATTGCTTACAGACAACTTTTTTCTTAGAAGTAGCTCAATAGGGGATCAGTTACCTCCCAGGGAATTAATTTGAAAAATTCCACTAAGTATTGTGGGAGTTGGATGGAGCCCTGGCAGCCAATTTAGGAAAAACTGTCCTTTGCATAGAACAGAATGTAACCGTTCAATGCATATTTGTGTGAAGCTTGTGGAGTTCCATTGTGGAAGGATCTGTGTAAAAATTACTACATGTATTTGTTCCTCAAATTAATATCTGCTGATCAAWTTTTTTTTCACTTTAAGAATGCATTTTAAATTATTTCCCTTGCTAAAGGCTCTGTTCTAGTCTGAGATTTGAAAGCAAGAATGCTTGTGACCTTGTGAAATCACTAGTAATCATAGTTTTCCTTTTCTATTTCTATAAATGTGTTTTCTTCCTTTAGTTTAATTTTATCTGAATTATCACCTTTGCCTTTACAAAAGAAAATATTCTTGAAAAAAAGTGAAAACAGGGAGGTTGAAGTGATTGAAGTATTTTYATGTACTTGTTTTTAAAGTGGAACTGAGGACGTGCTCAATTAAACAATGTGATATCTCCCTACTAGAATACACTGAATATGGGGTGGGGGGGGAATGGACCAGGAGGGGTAAGTAGTTTGTTGATAAATGCTATTGCAAGACTGCTTACCCAGAGTATATTATTACATCCCAGATTTGATAAAGTGAGTGGGTTAATARTCTCCCAGCTTCAGATTCTCCTTGAATATTTAAAAGGGCTCTTAAAAAAAATAAATCACAGTAGTCTGAAATCACAGAGGATCATGCCTAGTAGAATAGTAAGATAAATGGAGTGTATGTCCTAAAARGAAATAGAAAGGATGAGACAGCTGAAAATAAAACTTTAAAATTGGAATTTATAGCTGTTGTAGAAGTTAAACTAAAGTTACCTTGTAAAAGTTATCCTGAATTTAAATTATTCATAAAGTGCCTTTTTGTRTGGGCAAGGAAACTTGTGCAGCTTATGCTGCACTTTGCAGTTCTTTCAACATCTGTGCCTTTTCTGCACCTGCCTTGCAGTGACATCTGCTGGAAAAAGCAGGAAGCCTTTATTGTAGTTACAACGGTTTGGAAAGAAGGTTAATCTGAAATGGAATGTGAAAAATTATGYAATTTTTCCAAGCATATGTATATTTCTCTATGCAAGAATCTGGTGGTATGAAGAGATATAAGTAATACAGAGCGTTTCAATACTAATTTTTTAAATGAAACTCAAATAAATTGCAATGGCAGCTGTTAATTTCTTAACTATGGCCATATATATGTTTGTTGACATATTAAGGAATAATGATAAAATAGCCATAAGWCTAATCTTATGACTTAAAATATTTAACTGCCATACTGATGTATACMTTTCTCAAAGAAATGCTTATTTCTTTTTCTCCCAAAATTACAGGGAAGATAACCCCATTCTTTTTCTAAAATATATTTTGATAATTTTGAGTGTACAAATTTTGATCTCTTTCATGTCTGTGTAGCTTAACACAGTGCTTTAAAAAATGAGAAATTTTCTGTGTTYGGGATGAACAGGCATTCAAAGGTAGTTTATAGATGACTGAATGTACAGTGAGTCTTTCTGGTATGTGGTGTACCTTAGTACACTTACTTGTGCTAAGTTAGCACCAGAAAGATTTGAGAAGTAGGGAAAAATCTAAGTGATGTAGAGGAGACACCGCCTTCTTTGTTCTTTTAGGAGAATTTCAGAAGTGAGAAATGCCATGTTTGGTAGTCAGGCAATGTGTTGAGACTGAGACAAGAATTTAAGAGTGATCCATGTCCTCAAGTAACCTGATGGAATTACAGTGGTATTATAAATAATGAAAACAAATACTTTAAAGAGGAAAGTATTGCAGAAGGTGATAGTTATCAATGTTACAAAGTAACATTATGAAAATACTTTTATTGTGCCTGAGGATGTTGGAGCTTTGCAGATATTTTCCTGTCTGATGAAAGAGATGARCACTATATCCCTGGGTGATACCTATGGACTGTAGGTTTGGATTATTCAGCAGTTCAGGGCAGGCATGTGTTCGTTGCGTGATTAGAGCTTCACTTGAACTGCCTGAAGGTTACATGTGGCTCAAGAACCACAAATTGGCCGTGTCTACATTACGTGATCAAAATGGAACTTTCTGGACTTTAYATAAACAGATAGCTCTAACTTGGTCCAATTTTTAAAAATGCTTGAGATGTTTTTAACAATTGAGATTGATTTTTTCCCATGTTTTCTCTTGAATGCCTCTGAAAACCAATAAAATACATAACAAAACCCAGCAAGACTTAAGAGAAATCAAACCCTTAAGATATTAGAGGAAAGAAAAAAGTCTTCTGTCCATTMTTCCTTGCTTATAGAGAATTTGTGCTTTCTCTTCAATGTGGGCAAATCTCTTGTGCCCATAGCGAGAGACAAAGTAATTGCTCTTGGCTCCAATACAGGTAGTTTGGAGTTGGGGTCTTAAAGGTGGAATGTGTACAAACACAAATGAGTTTAAATCTTAGACAAAATATGTAAGAGKAGCAGGTTTGCCGTGGCAGGATAGAGCCCAGTAGAGTGCATGAAATGAAACCCAGAGACACTTCTCTGTTCTACACACAGGCAGTGTAGATGCACACAAATTTCATAAGAAGCCACATGGTCTCTAAAGCCACAACTTCTTTTA